TGTTACTCAAGTAAAATAAAATTACTGTACCAGGAAAAAAGCTATTTTAAAGTACTGTAATATATACAGTATACGTACATTACAGGTATTCAAAAAAGGTGTTGGCTCAGTAACTGTCCAGCTTTGCTGTTAAAATATTGACACTAAACATATCACAATGAGATCTTTATAGGTTATTTCCTAGCCAGTTAAATGTACTGTACCATATAATTGAAATGAGAGTTTGTAAAGAAAAGTGTACAGAGGGGCATGGCAGGCAGGTGGTGGACGAATTAAGGAACATCAATTGTTGAAATATTCCTCTACCTGAGACTCGATAAAGAAAACACTGTTTGGAAAATGAGAAAAGGATTAAATATCTCTCATTCTAAGCTAATTTTTCTAACATAAAACAATTGGAATACACATACACTAGATGTTCATAAAAATACATTTAATTGGGCGAGTGTTAGTTCTTTTGGTGTTGGTTGGGCGGATATCGATAACAACCTGGGGAGATGGCTGAGCCAATCAGTGCCACACTGGGGGCCCTGTGTCACAGCCACACCGTTCTTCCTTCTCCTCTTCAGCACTCACCCACTACACGCCCCTTCAAATACAGGTACATCTAATTTTCCTGATGCTGGTGATGACCTGGGCTCTTGGGATGTCATTCATTCTCTTTTACAGACTCTGGTGATAATTTTCACCATAGAAGAGGGATTTTTGCGCACATGTCGAGGTCATCACTAATATCTTCATTATAAGTGAAACCTTGGAAAAATACTCTAATGCACCATGTAAATTGAGGGATTTACTGTAATATCAAATTTTTTGTACTGTACTGTATACCAATTGCATTGTCTTAACTGTGTGTTTATCCTGATACTGTATTTTGTTTGTGATTTAGTTTCTCTATGTAAATGATGGTAATCCAAGCTTTATCATGGTAGAGAGAGAATGAAAATTGTGGTTGATAAATCACATGTTAGTGTTTTATGGTAAGTTTATTTTAGTATGTGGCTTGTACTATTGTTATCTTGTTATCTTGACAACCTTTATCAGTGACCAGCCTGAATAGTGGGAGATTGTATTACAAGGTCAATAAGTTTATACAATTACAGTACAGTGATAATTATGGTTTTTATCTGGTGTTTGCTTCTTTGCCATTGAATGGTATCCAAAAGCAACTTAGCTCAGCCAGATATTACATTATTGATTTTTTGGTTCTTGTTCATAAATCCAGTACGTACATTGTATGTAGCTGGGTTGATCTGGATTTGAAATTTTGTGTCTGTATCTATTATTCACACAGTTTTCTGACAAATGCATTCCTCCATAGAAATATTTGGGGTGACAGTAGGAAATTGAAATGCTTATAAGTGTAATACAGCTACACCTGTATTAACTCATTAAATTTTGTCTCTTGAGTTTATAAGCCTTAGGGTAATTGAGTAAAATACCACAGGATGTGCTTCTCTTCACTTGGCCTTCCTTAAAACTTATATATACAGTGCCGTATCTGTCCTCTGAATTTTACTCTTTTCTTGGTAACGTGGATGCTTTCTTGCTGCTTTTGTAGTCTTATGAGATGTTTTTCTTTCTACAGACAAAAATGGAAGTTTCCCATAAATATCTTGTGATGGCTCAGGAGTATGTCAATGAATTATGTGAAGGTAAACCAGCTTGGGAGATTATCTTGAGGACAGCAGGAGCGACCATCCTACTAGCGTGGGCTAAAAACTTTCTCTTTAAAGATGAAAGTACGGTATTTATTTTGCAACTGTTATTTCCTTTCTCTATTCAAACTTTACTTCCCCTACACAAACTTGATGCTTACTACTTTAGTGTGTAATTTTTGGATAGTAGCAATATTTTGATGATTATAGTTTACCCAGCTGAAAAGTAGGAATATGATTATTGGACATACTGTACTGTACCTTAGTGTATATAGATAGTATTTATTGATTTATTTCATATATATATATATATATATATATATATATATATATATATATATATATATATATATATATATATATATATATATATATATATATATATATATATATATATATATATATATATATATATGCTGATAACCACAATGCTGATATATATATTTGTTTTTCAGCTCTCTTTGAAAGGGGAAAAAAGACAGTGTTCAAGTTGGCTAGAAAGGTTCCAACAGTGAAAGCCAAAATTGAGGAGGAAATAGAAAAGGTTTGTGATTTTAAAGTTTGTTTTGAACCTTTAGTTGGAGCAGTGAGTAAAGCAAGATTAGACCAGAAAGGTTTCAGCCAGTCTAGAAAGTTATTTTTATAGTATTGTACAGTACTGTACTCTACTTTTATGTGCACTTTTTATAAGTCACAGTTCCACCCAAACTTAAACCTTGGTGTTGCAGCTGTCCATCTTTAAAACATTATGTAAACATTAACCCCTTTACCATGAGGATGCCATTCTTAATATTTTATTTGTTTACCACCAGACAATTTTATTCAGCAGAGAAGGGACCCCATGCACAAGAGTTAAGCTTTAGCTGTTAAAGTTAGTGGTATACCCACATAAATGTTTTTATATCTTAACCTGTTTTGTATTGCACATGTACAGTCCTGAACAAAAGACATATTACCTCTTCTGCTGCTCCACGAACTCTGAGATTCAGATTCATGAATCCGAAACATCCATGGACAAAACAATGCATCAGTTTTTATTGCTTCGGGTTCACGAGTCTGAATCTCTGGGTTTGTGGAGCTGCAGGAGAGGTTATAGGTCTTTTGTTCTGGACTGTTCATATAACTTTCATGCAGGTGTAAACGAAATGAGGTCCATGAATTCAAAACTGGAATGCTGTTGGGCAATATTGTTATTTTATTGGTTTTACCATTTGTTCTTTCATCTAGAATATTTTTGGCCCCATTACCTTGCCCCACAAATTAAAAACAAATCCAAAATGAAAAATCATGGTAGGCAACAGGGATCTTAAGCAAAAGGAAATTTTTATACATAAAGTAGGCAATAAAATGAGCTGTGATGGTTGATGTACCTAACGAATTAAAACATGATTAGGTCAACCAAAAACAGTGTTTCATAATCAAAGATATCTGATAAAAAGGTACATTAAGCTCGGTTTGAGAAATTTGCTGGTGAAATGCTATGTATGGCCACTACTGTTGTATGGATCATAAATGTGGATACCTTCAGATAATACCAGAAGAAGTTTAGAGGCCTCTTAAATGTGGTATTATAGGAGAATGGTAAAAAACAATTTACACTAACAGGAAAACAATTGAAGACATTCTAAGATTGGCAAAAACATCAAGAGAAATATAAAATTAAAGAATAAGGAAAATGTTATACAGGTACAGGACTGTACTGTACTTTGGTTATAGTTAAGGGAAGAAGGGATAATAGGAAAAATATTAGGGGCAAAAGTTCAGGGTAGAAGGGCCAGGGAAATGCAGGGACTACGACGGATGAATTAAATTAAATGCCGTGTCCCCAGAGAGATAAAAAATCTGAGAGGTTTATGTGTGAAATAAATCTTTCTGGTGAGGTTTCATTATCTAACCTCTGACCCACAAACATTTTTTTTTAATTTCAACTCGTAGATTTCTCTTTCCATGGAATTTTGATGAACTGTACTTTGGTAAATTTCAGACAGCTAGATAGGCATTTAATACCAATTATGTGTATGACTCAGATGCCATTAAAAACCAGCCTGAGAAATGAAAAGTGTAACAGGATTCCTGAAGTATGTGTTGAAAATATATAAGTGGTCATCCCTGAGATTTTGAAGGATACAAGGGTTAAAACACAGATAATTGGATGGGATAGTTTCCCATTGAATCTCGAGTTTGTGTTTACAGTACCATTTTACTGACATATTAAAAAGTATGAATACTACAGTACTGTACTGTAATTGTTGTCAAAATTATTGATAGAAAAAAACTTCCACACTGTGTTTCTAAATTCTTCATAATAATTTATGCCTCTTGTGTCAGGTATCAGTTTCGATGACACATGATCTAAACCAAGCCATCGATAATGCTCCGTATTTAACCAAGTTGCCAGAGAAAGGCTGGGGCTCTGAGCGAATTATGGATGAGGCCACCAAGTATACACAGTATGGTAAGGATACCAACAGTTACTTAAGAAGAGATATTGATATTGTTGAGGGACTTTGATTATCTCATATTAATTGCAGTTGGAAGCATATTTTTTTATAGCATGTATTGCAGTTCTTTTAATCTTAATATATGGTACATATTATAATTAAATAGAATAATTTTTTACTTTCGTTTGCTTGCTCCCGTTTTTTTCATGACCAATGAGACATTAGCAAGTAACTTGTGAAATCCTTAGTACTAAAACACCCTTTGGCAGAACATGCCCATTACCAAAGGATCAGGACATTTTCAATTACATGGCACACTGTTCAGACTGATAAGGCTGGGTAATGTTTTTACTGCAAGCAGTATGTTTTTGGCTCATTGAATCATAGTAAAAAATTTGACCGCATTTTATATTGTGTTAGTTAACTTAGGGTTTGGTGAGACATTATGTCATGGCCATAATATTAATAATTGGAATTATGTTCACAGGGTTATATTTTATGACATTATCACAATTTTATCACATAACTGGGACTGTACTTCTCTTAAATGACATAAAACCTATAGGAAGCATCATTCAACTGAAACTGCTTCATGAAAAATTCATAACAATTTGGTAATAAACACTTGCACAGGAATGTCCTCCCTTCTGGTCTTGCTGGATCTCTCTGCAGCTTTTGCCATGATGGACCATACTTTTTTAACTTTTATCTTTTATCCTCTTCGCCACTGATCGGCTTGTTAGGCGCTTGGGCGATCGGTCATGTCTCTATTATGCACTGTTAGCAAATACTGGGCATGCACTGGCTCCTGAATATATCGGAACCTGCTCCAGTATTGGTCAAGTCTGGCCTTGAATGAGCTCACACTCGGTGTCGTCACAATGTTCTCTGGCAGATTGTTCAAGAGTTCACAATTTTCACTACGAAAAAGTTTGCCGTCACAGTTTTTTGGACTTGTGGCTTCTTCAACCTTGAGCTGTGACCTCTTGTGTGGCAGATGTCTGCCAGTTCCAGGTATGTACATTCGACCAAGTAGTGCCCCCTGAGATGTCTGTAGTATAAGCTAGGTAGTTGCAGGAGCTCCAATCTCTCTGGGTAATTGAAGCTCCGTAGAGCAGGCACCAGTCTAGTGGCCCTCCTTTGGATATTTTCAATCAATTGACAGTCTCTAGCATACCTCAGTGAGCAAATGGGGTGACAGTACTCCAGACGGGGACGCACCTCACTCTTGAAGTTATAGCAAAGCACAGATTTTGTTGTTTTGTTTCTGATTATTTTGAGAGGTTTTTTCCATTATTATATATTTGTATGTGTCTTGTGTGCAGTGGTGGGTAAGGTTCCGCTAACCGCTAATTAGCGAAGCTAACTTTCTCGTTAGCGGATTACCATTTTCGCTAACTTTGGAAACCATTTGCGGACCAATTAGCTTCCACTAAATTTAGTTCCGCTAACAAAATTTATACATGTTTGTTCCTATCTGTTCTAAGCGTGTGACGCCGCGACGAGTGTCTCCAACAGCCAGTCAGGCATGCTTGGCTGACTGCGTGTTAGTACGTGCAAAGATATCTTTAGGGCCAAGAGAGCCACCTTGTCAAATGGCAGCTTTGAGAGGCTGATGTTTATGAAGGGCTACCAACATCACGTCAAGGCGATGGAGAAGGCCCAGCCACTGCAGCCGGAGTGAATGGAATATTTCGAATATTAAAGTTTAATTAGCATTGAAAAGCCCTAAAAATACTCCAAGCCTCATTAAGGCCACTAATTACCCCCCCCCCCATCGAAATGAGGATCATATATTTGCAATCAGCATGCTCAAGAGTACATATACTGAGATTTTCAGCAAAATCAAATTTTTAGCCAAAAACATAAGTAATTTTTTTACCAAAATATACTTTTCTCTCGGAATTGGAATTTGAGGGGTTTCACCAATTAATTATTTCCAGAAGAACACAAAAACACCAAAATCTCACCTGGGAAACCCATAGTTGGCTAGTAATTAGCATTGAAAAAATCCTATGTTTTTGGCCAAAAATTTGAATTTGCTGAAAATCTCAGTATATGTACTCTTGAGCATGCTGATTGCAAATATATGATCCTCATTTCGATGGGGGGGGGGTAATTAGTGGCCTTAATGAGGCTTGGAGTATTTTTAGGACTTTTTCAAATATTTAAGACTTTTTCAATGCTAATTACTAGCCAACTATTGGTTCCCAGGTGAGATTTTGGTGTTTCTGTGTTCTTCTGGAAGTAATTGATTAGTTAAACCCCTCAAATTCCAATTCCGAGAGAAAAGTCAATTTTGGTCAAAATATTATTAAGGCATAAGACTTATGTTTTTGGTAAAAAATTTGATTTTGCTGAAAATCTCAGTATATGTACTCCTGAGCATGCTGATTCCAAAGCTATGATCCTCGCTTCGATTGGGGGTAATTAGTGGCCTTAATGACGTTTGGAGTATTTTTAGGACTTTTTCAATGCTTAGGACTTTTTCAAAGCTAATTTCTACCCAACTATGGGTTTCCCAGGTGAAATTTTGGTGTTTTTGTGTTCTTCTGGAAGTAATTAATTGGTTAAACCCCTCAAATTTAAATTCCGAGAGAAAAGTCAATTTTGGCCTAAAAATTATTAAGGCATAAGACTTATGGTTTTGGTCAAAAATTTGATTTTGCTGAAAATCACAGTATATGTACTCACGAGCATGCTGAATGCAAAGCTATGATCCTCGTTTCGATTGGGGGTAAATAGTCGCCTTAATGAGGCTTGGAGTATTTTTAGGACTTTTTCAATGCTTAGGACTTTTTCAAAGCTAATTACTAGCCAACTATGGGTTTCCCAGGTGAAATTTTGTTGATTTCTGTTCTTCTGGAAGTAGTTAATTGGTTAAACCCCTCAAATTTCAATTCAGAGAGAAAAGTCAATTTTGGTCCTAAGGCATAAGACAATTTGATTTTGCTGAAAATCTCATGAGCATATGCAAAGCTATGATCCTCGTTTCGAAAGCCTTAATGAGGCAGTATTTTTTTCAATGCTTGTTAAAAAGGTTCTTCTGGAAGTAGTTAATTGGTTAAACCTAAGTCTCAAATTTATGGTTTTGGTCAAAAATTTGATTTTGCTGAAAATCTCAGTATATGTACTCCTGAGCATGCTGAATGCAAAGCTATGATCCTCGTTTCGATTGGGGGGTAATTAGTGGCCTTAATGAGGCTTGGAGTATTTTTAGGACTTTTTCAATGCTTAGGCACTAAGCCAACTATTGGGTTTCCCAGGTGAGATTTTGGTGTTTTTGTGTTCTTCTGGAAGTAATTAATTGGTTAAACCCCTCAAATTCCAATTCCGAGAGAAAAGTCAATTTTGGTCAAAATATTATTAAGGCATAAGACTTATGTTTTTGGTAAAAAATTTGATTTTGCTGAAAATCTCAGTATATGTACTCCTGAGCATGCTGAATGCAAAGCTATGATCCTCGTTTCGATTGGGGGGTAATTAGTGGCCTTAATGAGGCTTGTAGTATTTTTAGGACATTTTCAATGCTTAGGACTTTTTCAAAGCTAATTACTAGCCAACTATGGGTTTCACAGGTGAAATTTTGGTGTTTTTCAGTTCTTCTGGAAGTATTTAATTGGTTAAACCCCTCAAATTTCACTTCCGAGAGAAAAGTCAATTTTAGTCAAAAAATTACTAAGGCATAAGACTTATGTTTTTGGTCAAAAATTTGATTTTGCTGAAAATCTCAGTATATGTACTCCTGAGCATGCTGAATGCAAAGCTATGATCCTCGTTTCGATTGGGGGGTAATTAGTGGCCTTAATGAGGCTAGGAGTATTTTTAGGAATTTTTCAATGCTTAGGAATTTTTCAAAGCTAATTTCTGCCCAACTATGGGTTTCCCAGGTGAGATTTTGGTGTTTTTGTGTTCTTCTGGAAGTAATTAATTGGTTAAACCCCTCAAATTTCAATTCCGAGAGAAAATTCAATTTTGGTCTAAAAATTATTAAGGCATAAGACTTATGTTTTTGGTCAAAAATTTGATTTTGCTGAAAATCTCAGTATATGTACTCCTGAGCATGCTGAATGCAAAGCTATGATCCTCGTTTCGATTGGGGGGTAATTAGTGGCCTTAATGAGGCTTGGAGTATTTTTAGGACTTTCAATGCTTAGGAATTTTTCAAAGCTAATTTCTACCGAACTATGGGTTTCCCAGGTGAAATTTTGGTGTTTTTCTGTTCTTGTGGAAGTAATTAATTGGTTAAACCCCTCAAATTTCAATTCCGAGAGAAAAGTCAATTTTGGTCAAAAAATTACTAAGGCATAAGACTTATGTTTTTGGTCAAAAATTTGATTTTGCTGAAAATCTCAGTATATGTACTCCTGAGCATGCTGAATGCAAAGCTATGATCCTCGTTTCGATTGGGGGGTAATTAGTGGCCTTAATGAGGCTTGGAGTATTTTTAGGACATTTTCAATGCTTAGGACTTTTTCAAAGCTAATTACTAGCCAACTATGGGTTTCACAGGTGAAATTTTGGTGTTTTTGTGTTCTTGTGGAAGTAATTAATTGGTTAAACCCCTCAAATTTCAATTCCGAGAGAAAAGTCAATTTTAGTAAAAAAATTACTAAGGCATAAGACTTATGTTTATGGTCAAAAATTTGATTTTGCTGAAAATCTCAGTATATGTACTCCTGAGCATGCTGAATGCAAAGCTGTGATCCTCGTTTCGATTGGGGGGTAATTAGTGGCCTTAATGAGGCTTGTAGTATTTTTAGGACATTTTCAATGCTTAGGACTTTTTCAAAGCTAATTACTAGACAACTATGGGTTTCACAGGTGAAATTTTGGTGTTTTTGTGTTCTTGTGGAAGTAATTAATTGGTTAAACCCCTCAAATTTCAATTCCGAGAGAAAAGTCAGTTTTGGTCAAAAAATTACTAAGGCATAAGACTTATGTTTTTGGTCAAAAATTTGATTTTGCTGAAAATCTCAGTATATGTACTCCTGAGCATGCTGAATGCAATGCT